GCTCTGGGAGACAATGTAGATCCAAACCCTAACAGCACATGTGTAATTTTCCTCTAGATGTATCTTATGAAGTCCTGGCCAGCTTTTAATAACCTGACTCTAAAAGTTCCTTTCCCTTTAAACTACAATTTGCTTTCGGTTAACTTCAATTCAGTTTTAGTTGTTCAGTCTTTTCAGAAGAGACAGTACTTTTAGCCTTGATACTAGACACTTAAATTGTGTAACTAAGCATTTTTTTTTCTAACATGGGGGCCACTATTTAATACAGATTGGCCTCCTTTTCCTGATTTTTAAACGATCTCCCACCTCAGTCTGCAGTAGCTGATACCACCACACCTAGCCTGAGTAATATTGTTTTAGTCCTTTTTTAAATATTATTTTTATCCTTCTCCTACTGCCAATCATCTTCATTACAGAGCCTAAGAAATATTTTCTTGAAAAGCCTGTGTTGTTTCTCTGTACATCACAGTTTGCTGTATGACATTCTCAGATTGTGCAGAGGAATCAACTAGTTCCTTTGGGGGGGCGGGGGGCAGGGCACTCAGGATGCCTTCAGGGCAGGTCTGATTTGGCTTGAGGATGAGGGGATTGAACCACAGCATCCTGAGCCTGACTGCTTTGTTTCAGCAGGCACTTAAACACCTGAGCTAATGGGCAGGCCCCCAGAATCAACTATTTCCTTCTGACACTACCTCTGGACCTGTACCCTCAATACAAGTGTGTAATATGCACCACTTAGGAGTCATGAAGACACTTCTTACAAATTATAGTACAGGGGCCAGGGAGATGGCTCAGTGGAATAAGCGTTTCCCTGGCAAGCGCAAGGGCCTGAGTTCAATCCCCGGTTCCACCAAAAAAAAAGAAAAAAAATTATAGTACAGAAAACATGCAGAGGAAGGGAAGAAAACCTTCATTTTTATGTGAAATAAATTTAAAAAATTATACTGAACATTTTCTCCTTTAAAACAATTAAAAAGAAATTCTTAGAGCACTGATTGAAGATATATGTTAGTGGTAGAGCACATGCCTACTATATAGGCTCTGAGTTTGGTTTCTATCACTCAAAAAAATAAAAACATTATGGTTCATATCTAGCTGTCCCCCCAAAGCCACATGCTGTTATAAGGCTTTTTCATAGATGGCTGAATCTAAAGTGTGTGACCCCGAAGTTAAGGGTGTGTGATTACGAAATCTGTCCATTGACTGGTTTGGCATAGTTCTGACTAGGATTAAGGGTCTGAGAGGCCCTAGGGTGGGTAGCCTACATACAATATAACAGACAGAAAGTCTTGTCTCCCCCTCTTGTTGCTTTTGTTGTCTTCTGTTACCCTGGACAGCTGTCCCTCTACCGAATGCCACCCTGCCTTGGAGCCGGCCCACTAGGGACTGAAACCACTACAAACTGAGCTAAATAAACCTTTCCCTCTTTAACTCTGTGTGTCGGGTATTTTATCTCAGCAATAAGAGAAAAGTACCTATGTCATCATGGAACTTGGCTTTTCATTATAAAACACTCTATAGGATTGTTTCTTTCTCATTGAGTAGGAGACAAGGTTTTACTCTGGTTGGGGTGGTGTATGTCTATAATCCCAGCTGTTTAGTAGGCTGAAGCAAGAGGATTGAAAATTCCAGGTCAGCCTGGGAAATTTAATGATTTCCTGTCTTAAGATAAAAAAAATTGAAAAAGGCCTGGGAGCGTGCTCAGTAATAGAGCACTGGCTCACAGTGCACTGAACACTGAGTTCTATCCCCAGTACAGCAAAGTGAACTTCAGTGATTGAGCTTAGTGATTAATTTGACTAAGAACCTCCTTGAGGGGTAGCTGGGTCACGGGACGCCATACTCACCAGCGCTACTAGGGGGCGCTCACGGGAGGAATTCTGTTAGTTCTTTCTCATGCCTACTCCCCTGCGTTCTCCTCTAGAAACAGAGCAGCTTGGCTTCAACGCGCTTCCTGCTCTGCCAGTACTTTTGGCAAACATAGATCGAAATCTCTGAAAATGTGAGCCAAAGTATAGCGTTCCTCTTAAATTGAAGGTGTTGATTATTTTGAGCTAACAACAGAAAAGCTGACCAATACAGTTTCCTCATTAGGCCTCTAGGGTTTGAATTCATCAGCTGATTATAGTCTTGTGCCATCTTTGAACCCATCTTTTCATCTATAAAATATAAAATGGAGATAATACTGTACTTGTCTTTCTTTTTTTCTTTCTTTTTTTTTTTTTTTTTTTTTTTTTTTTGTCTCTTTTTGAGATAAGCTTTCATTCTGTAGTTCAAGCTGGCCTGGAACTCACTTTGTAGCCCAGCCTGGCCTTGAACTCACAGCAGTCCTCCTGCCTCTGCCTCCCAAGTGCTAGGATTACAGGCGTGAGCCACCAGCCTGGCTGTACTTGTCTCTTGGGTTAAGGGTGTACTATATAAAGCTTTCTTCCTAGGGTTAGCCCAATAAATAATGTCAGGTTGTTATTTTCACTAATATAGTATCTGCATTTTTCTTTTTTATATCAGGAATTGAACTCAGGATCTTGTGCTTGCCAGGCAGGCACTTATGACCTCACAGTATCTTTGTACAAATCACCTAAGTTTGCCCAGTGTTTGAAAGAAAACATTTACTGATGACATGAAAACGTGAATCAGTGCTTAAAGCTGGGGCTTTGCTTTTCCTCATCAGTCACGCTAGTTTACAGGAACATCATTAAGAATGCCACACTTGAGCAGGGCATGGTGGTTCACGCCTACAATCCCAGCTGGGGGAGGCTGAAGCAAGAAACCAGTTGGGCCTCACAGTGAGGTCAAGGTCAGCAGGAACTATATACTGAGATCCTGTGTTAAGAAAATAATGCCACACTTGAACAATAACTTAGTTGGTTTTCATTTTCAGCACTGACCTGAAATTATTCTTATTAACTACATTGATTTTTTTCCTTTGAGTCCGACTAACACACGTCCTCTTCAAGACTGAAGACACCAAGCTAAGACCTCTGTGGGGGACAGTACAGTGCCACTTCTCTAACATCCTGCTCCAGGCCCTGGAAAGTCTCCAGTGACTGCCCTAAACTTGCAGTCACCCTGACTTCCTGCAGAGCCAGCAAAACCTGAGACTGCCCACTCACTGAGCAAGAAGGCTCCTCTCTGGGAAACCAGGTTGCCCCTTAATCCAAAGCGACTTCTCAGGAGCCGCAACGCTGGCCCTCCTCAAAGATCCCAAAACAGCTGTCCCCAGAATTGTGCCCTGTTCACGCCTCAAGTGCAAGTCCCTTCCTTCCCATCAAAGCTTTTCCTTATAAATCTACTAGCATTTTTTTTAATATATATATTTGGTACAGGGTCCGCAGGTCTACAGGGTTTCACTACATAGGTGGGACTCATAGTGATTCTCCTGTTTTTAGCCTCCCAAGGGCTGAGATTACAGGTGCGTACCGCCATGCCCAGTCTTAACCGGTCTCAGTGTGCCCCAGGGGGGAGGCTGGCATAGCACACCAGGGATCAAACCCAGGCCGCTGCACTCTGCCTAAGCAGGAGCTTTAGTCCACTGGGCTATCTGGCCTGCCCATATAAATCTATGCTGTCATTTCATTTAAACAAGAAAATTTTTTGATTGCTTTTTAAAATTTCCACTATCACGGAAGTAAATTACCATGCTAACAGATCGCTTATCAGACTAAAATGCCTGCACTGGAATTCAATACCCTGTGCCAGCCCCACTCCCAGGACACGCTGAGACACGATTGAGACTGGAGGTGGTGGTGCGTGGACCTGTAATCCCAGCACTTGGCAGACTGAAAACAGTAGGTTCACTACGAGTCTGATCTGTGTAGTGAGACCCTGTACTAAAATACAAAAAAAAAAAAAAAAAATCTCGTGCTAGCCAGTGACAGTTGTATCATTCATTAATGGTTCTTGACAAAGCAATTTTCATTATGATAGCTGATGAATGGCTTTTTCTTTTGGGGGGGGTTCTTTTGAGAGAGTTACATACAGTCTATATAGCCTAAATTGGCCTAACCTGTAACTCACAATCCTCCTGCCTGGTCTCCAGAGTGCTGTGATTACAGGGATATATGACCGTGTACAGCTGCAAAATATTGATTTTCTCACTGCTGATGGGAGGACCTTTCCCTTTTTCCTCTATATTGCATTTTAAATTGGGAAGAAAAGTTTAAAAATCGGGATTCTACTCTAATGGGACAGGGCTAATTCACCTTCCCCTCTTGTGCTCCAGCGACCTCCATACTGTGATTGAGGGTGATGGCTGGAGAGTTCACAACGCAAGTTCAAAGAAAAGCCTGTTTTTATTTTCATTTATTTTTATTTATTTATTAATTTATTTGCAGAACCGGGATTAAACTCAGGCCCTTGCGCTTGCCAGGGAAGGGCTTATTCCACTGAGCCAGCTTCCCAGCCCCCCTGTTTTTAGCTGTTCGTGAGGGTGCATGCCTGTGACCCCTGCACTTGGCATTCTGGGAGGCTGGGGCAGGAGAATGTCCTCAGAGCCAGGCGTTGCCAATTTACCAACCCCCTGGCTTAAAAACGAAACAACTGGACTTATGGCCTTTGGTAGAGACCGTGATCGGCATGTACAAGGCCGTGGGTTCCATTTCCAGAATCGCAATTAAATAAAAATATGAAATGTGTGTTCGGACGTCCCGCTCAAGGAGCCAGATCTGCGTTAGGGCCCAGAAATCAACATTCCTAGCAGTGTGGGGAATAAACGAAGGAAACCTACAAAATAAAGGCAATTTCTCCGCGAAGAAACGGTGCCTGCTCAGTGACCTTCCTTCACCTCGAGGCCGCGTGCGGGGCGTAGCGTCGGGCGGCACCTGGCGGGCTGCCAGCAGACCCGAGGCGCCGGGCCCGCGCCACGCCCCAGCCCGCCCAGCCCCGCGCTGGAAGGTGCTCAGTCACGGTGAGGTTGCGCTCGCTCGCCCCGCCCCGAGCCCCGCCCCCGAGCCCAAGCGCCCCGCCCCCGATCCCCAAAGCCCCGCCCCGCCCTCGCGCACTTCCGCGTGCATGGCGCTGCTGCCGCGGGCGCTGAGCGCGAGCGCCAAGTGTATAAGTGCGCGCGCGCCCGCCGGCGCCCCGCACGCCCTCTCCAGAGCCATGGCGTGCAGGCCGCAGCCGCAACGCCTGTCGCCTGGCGTCGCTGCCTCCTACGACTACCTGGTGATCGGGGGTGGCTCGGGCGGGCTGGCCAGCGCTCGCCGGGCGGCAGAGCTGGGCGCCAGGGCCGCAGTGGTGGAGAGCCACAAGCTGGGCGGCACTTGCGTGAGTACCGGGCCCCGCGCGCTCCCTCCATCCCTCCTTGCTCGGCTCGTGCTCGCCCGCTGCGGTCCCTCGACCCGGCCAGACCAGAGGCCTGGTCCCCGCGGGCGGAGGCGGAGAAGCGGAGAGGGGCTTTGCCCCCCGGCCGGCGCAGGTGCGCTGGCAGCTCGCCATATGAATTGAGCGTCACTTTCTTGCATCCTTGCTCTCGCGTTGCATACCGTGCGTGGTCTCGGGCATCTGGAAGATCGGGAGAGGCCCACGTGTGCATGGCAAGAGTCATTGAGGACTGGGGTCTGGTCCCCGCCTGTGGATTTGTAGGACAATCCTCTGCCATAGGGCTTCTCGCGTCCTTGGTCTGTAGCGCAGCCGGGGCTTTGCAAGTTTGAAAAATTCCTCGGGTGATCTTTTGTTGCAGCCAAAAGTCAGGACTACAGGTTGCCTAGATAGAAGATTTAGATGATGCAGATTTAGGTGATTTTTTTTTAATGGGGTCCCAGTATTTAGTTAGGTGATGGGATAATAGGCTGCTGCTCCCACACCGTCTATAATATTCATAATTCTTAGAAATTTTGTTTCTTGGCTATTAGTCTGGACTTTTTCTGAGGCAAGATTTGGGTGGGGTGCGTGCTGCTGGCATTATGTGCTCCCTCCAAGACTAATATGTGACTGGGGATAAGTACTGGGAATCTAACTCAAGACCTCGCGCCTTCCAGACAGATGCCGTACCGCTGAACTATATTCCCAGCTTTATTTTACATTGAATGGGGAAGTCCATAGGGGCTGCCTAGTGTTTGTGTACCTCTCGTCACTTTTTTTTTTTTTTTTTTGGCGGAACCGGGGTTTGAACTCAGACCCTTGTGCTTGCCAGGGAAGCACTTATTCCACTGAGCCATATCCCCTGCCCCGCTCGTCACTTTTAACAAAATGACTTGCTCAGTAATCTTTTGCAGAGTGAATGAAGCTAGAAGACAGCTATTCAAAGGCTGACTCCATCTTTCAGGTCTTTTTTTCAAGTTCAAAATGAGGATGGACATGGACCATGGGGAAAGGAAAAGTCCATGTTAATTATCAACTTGCATTGTGATGTTCAACCAAGAAAGACTAAAAGTGGGTCTGTGCGAAAGACTAGTTAAGGCTGGGCCTCGGCCACAACTATGGGAACTCTTGAGCTCTTCTCTCCTGCGTCTCCACAGTTTTCTGTTTTCCTTCTCCTCTGCTGTCATAACAGGCATGGGGTACCTACTTCACTTCTGGTTCTGCTAGTATTGATCAAGATGGGGCTGAGTTTTAGGTTCCTGTTACCACTTTGAATACATGGAAAGATAAAATTGCTTTGGAGAGCAAAGTGCAGCCGGATACAGCCTGTCAGTTATTTGCTACCAGCCTTATGAAGTGCCTGGTTTTGCTTTTCTCTCCTGCCAAAGCTTTGACTTCCTTTTAAGCGTTTACAAGTTTGGGAGATCCTCTATTTGATATTTTAATGACATCACATTAGGGCTTTTTTCATACTGGCTTCTAGAATTTAATTTCAAGAAAAGGTGTAGGTGTGCAGTAAATAGCAGAGATTCAACAAAAACAGGTTTTAGATTTGTTGGAGGATTGTAGTTATGTGGACTGTTCACTGTTGTAATAATAAACATATTACATGAAGTGTTTCAGACAGGTGTAGGGGAAATTGAGTGCATCCTCTCAATATATTCTGAAGTGCATCCTCTTATTAATATATTCATTTCTTAGATTGAGGCTAACAGAGAAAAGGGTAGGTACAAACATCTGTAGAACAAATACCTTCCTCTAAGGAATTTATAATATGGCAGGGGGATACCAGATAGAGCCCCACAACTCCAGAGTAGCAAGGCCTCTCGTAATAACTAATTAAGTAGTTCAGAGAAGAGTGGGCATTCTTCTGCCTGGGCATCCAGGGAAGTTACTAGAAGATAGTATCTTGCTCATCTTCAGAGGTTATATAGTTCTTTGATCATTTGGTTTTTTCCATACATGTTTGTAGTACATCATGTTTACATTTCTTGTGGGGAGTTGTTGTACCTGTATGTAATACAAAGATTTTTACTTAGAAAGGTCTAAACCAAAGGAATACAGCAGATTTTGTTGTGAGTTTTACTGGAGCAAAGGGTATTTTCTTACTTTAGTAGAAGCAAGAGATAGGAAACTGGCTTTTAAAAAACAGAATCAGGGCCAGAGAGATAGGTCAGTGGCATAGCACCTGCCTGGCAAGCGCAGGGTCCTGAGTTCGATTACCAGTACTCCCCCCCCGCCAAAAAAAAAAAAGGAATTCTTTTTTCCTGTCTGTCTTTGTTACTGCAGTGCTAGGGCTCAGACTCATGGCCTTGGGGATGCTAGTAAGTGCTATACCGCTGAACTACATCCCAGCTCAAAATGGATTTTTTTTTTTTAATGCATAGTGAACTGCAGAAGAATTTTGAGCAGGAGAGTAACTCAGACAAAAATAATATTACTATGAGGCATCCCTTGGGAACAGATCCAGTGTAAGACTGACCAACTAATGCAAGTAAATATATTATTATAATTCTAAAGTTTGATTAAATTTTTATTTTCTAATTTTTTCACAGTGCTAGAGATAAATCTCAGGCCTTATAAAAGCTAGGCAAGTTGTCTGCCACTAAGCTGCCACCCCAGCACTGAAGCTTGGTAAATTTTTAATTTGTTTTGGATGAAGTCACATGGAAAAGCCAAATCTTTCTCTACAGCGCTTATTTCAAGGCAGTGGGATTATGTTTGATTCTTGCTGTTTTATTTTTATTCATTTATTCAACAAATATGTATCTGTGTGCCAGATTATTTTTAAAATAATTATTTATTTATTATACCAGATACTTTATCAGTGCTAGTGTCACACTAGCAAGAAAAATAGGTAAAAATTTCTATCCTTGGAGCTGGGTGGGGTGGTAACCCTAGCATTCAGGAGACTGAGGCAAGAGAAGCATTGGGAGTTCAAGGCTAGTCTGAACTGCATAGTGAGGCCATGCCTCAAAGAGACCAAAAAAAACAAACAACTTATCCTTGGGAGCTTGCGCTTTGTTGTCATCTGTAATTTTTGTTTTTCTTCGCAGTATTTTTTGGTGAACAAAAGAAAAAAATATGCTTCTGTATTTTGCTTCCTTTTGGGGACAGTCTTGGGGATAGAATTCAAGGCCTCCTGACACATAGGTCAAGGCTCTCCCAATCATCCCAAAGGGCTTTCCCTTCCTGCCTCGTGTGCCTTTTTTTTTTAAGGTACACCTTGCTCAGTGAAAGTTTAGACTTACAGGTAATTCATTTGGAAATTCCAGTCTGGCTACAGGTTTTTTTTTAAATTTTTTTTTTTAACATTTATTTATTGTGTGTGTGTGTGTGTGTGTGTGTGTGTGGCCAGCTCAGCCCACCAGGGGGTGCGGCTGGCTGGCATGTGGTGCTGGGGGATCGAACCACGGTCCCTGTGCTTTGCCAAGCTTGTTCCAAGTAGGTGCTTTAGACCACTGAGCCATCTCTCCAGCCCTACAGGTTTTTTAAAATGGAGATAATGTAAAACTTTTAGTTATTTTTAAAAGACCATTGAAAAAATACTGCTATCTTCATCACTGTTAATTTTAGTAGTGATATCAAGACTGATATTTTATTATTTTAATTTTAATTTGTATTCTTGTTCTGCATTTGATGCTAGAGATTGAACCCAGGGCTTCACAAATACTAAGTCTGTGTTCTATACTGAGTTAGATCACCAACTCCAAGAGAAGCACTTTAATAAAAGGAAGCTTATAATTTAGATAAAGATAGTTCTTTGAATGCATGTAGGGCTGGAGAGATGGCTCAGTAGAATAAGTGCTTCCCTGGCAAGCGCAAGGGCCTGAGTTCAATCCCCAATTCCGCAAAAAGAAAAAAAAGAATGCATCTAGCTTTATGAAGCACTCATTGCATAAGCCCCCTTATTTTTGTTTCACTAAGGATTATTTTTCAAAAGCTGCACTCTGGTAGGTGAGCTACAAACAATACCAGGCTTTTGTTTGGTGCAAGGACTGTGGAAGCATTAGAAGGAATCCAGTGAGCCCTGATTCTTTCCGGAGCTCAGGCAACAGTGAGTTTGCCCCTACATGTGTTGCATGCTTCTGAAATAACCTTCCTTTACACCTTGACAGGGTGTACAGCCTGATTGCTTTCCTAGGTTTCTGACTTCTCAGTCTACCTGTTCTGGGAGGCTAATTTACCACCTCAGAGCCACATTTTCAAGATGAGAGGTGTGGGTGGGTGGGTACTGTGGAGTGAATTATTTTCCCACCCCCCCCACCCTACCTGTTCATATATTGAAGCTCCGGCCGCTGCCCGATGTGTGCAGGTCGTTGGAGGTGAGGAACCTTGGGAAGCGATTGTCTTAGATGAGGTCAGGAGAGAGCTGCCTCTGTGAGGTAAAGTCACAGGGAGATAGCTCAGTAGAGTAAGTGTTTGCCTGGCAAGTGCAAGGGCCTGAGTTCAATCCCTGGTTCTGCCAAAAAAAAAAAAAAAAGCAAATACAAGAATGCTGTAAATTACCCTTATAGATACATTAAAATGGTAAGGTGTACAGGAAAGCTACTTCCACAATTTGTTTGCGTCTAAGAACATTTATAATGCAAGATCTATTAATGATTATCAAAGTTTGTTATTTCAATGTTCCTAAGTTGGAGACCTTATTAAACTTTGGTTCATTTGCCTTATTGACAATTTGCTTTTGTGCACCACACTTTGTATAAAACTAATTTGCAATCTGCATCAGAACTCTTGTGGGGCCAAAGAGATAGCTCAGTAGAATAAGTGCCAGGGTCCTGAGTTCAATCCCCGGTAAAAAAAAAAATAAATAAATAAACTTCCTATAAGTTGTAGGTGTTTGGTATTTTGTCTCAGTGATGAGAAAAAAAAAAAAAAAAAAAAAAAAAAAAAAAAAAAAACCCTCTTATAAGCAATCCCCAGTACCTCCTCCCCAATGAACTTTTGTAAGTCTGTGGGGG